TGAAAGATCTGCACCCTCCGGTATAGTGTGCTAAGTGACCCTTATGGGGCAGGAGGAAGGGAGAGCAGATCAGCCAGCCAGCGAGCAGGGACTCCAGTTCTTCAGCCCCTCGAGAGCACTGCTGCTACAGATTTTTTCAGACATTCTGAAGTACTTTGTGGGAGGACAGGGGAGGCACAGGTCTGAATCGTGCTCAAGTACTCTAAACTGGAGCAAGATTTGGGACCTTTTAAATACATGGCTGTTCCAAAATACATGGCTGTCCTGATACAGTAAAAATGTGTAGCTTCAGACGTGTCGAATATGAGCATTATTTATTTTAGATATATTTTCAGTTGCAAAATGTCCACAGAGGCAATGCAACTATTAATTACATTTGACAAACTTTGCATTTCAGTTCTTATAAAAAAATAGTTTTCCTGAACTATGACTGGTAACACAACAGCAGTAGCATAGCATCCATGGAAAAACAAAAGAATCTTACTTCAGCATAACATCAGATTCCCTCACGATTGCTGCAAACTTATCCTTTTGTAAGCCTTGTTCAATGAGCAAAGTATGAGATTTATTGTACCTAGAATTCAAGAGAGATGCGTCAAATTTGACACAAAGATTGCAAGATTCACCCCTTGATTCACATTTCATTCTCTTCACACATGAAACACAGGGCATGCTTCTGGTTTCATTGTGTTCATTATCTGAGCACATGGGAATGCTTAAAAAAATACTCCTACTGCAAGATTATGATTAACATGGAGACTGATACTTAGCCTTTCAAATTATAATATTTACTAGCATACCACACATGACCTTTACTCACAAAATAGCCCTCCAAAACTGGGGTACTGTCTTAAGCAGGGAATCTGATTTCTGCACTAGAACTGGAGCAAGGGAGGCTGTATGGCTAGTGGAGCTGTCTCCTTTTCCATCAGTGGGAGAAGGGGTTGAGTGTAGTAGTCTGCAGCATCATAGTTATTTTGGCTTTTAGTCAAAAGGTGCTGCTAATTTGGCAGCAGCTGTAAAACTGTAGTTTTTGCTTCAGCAGTGATGGTTAGGATTCAGGCCTGACTGTAATTTTTTTTTCTTTATTCTGCTTTCCTAAAACAAGATACATGTCTTATTTCAGGACATGGGATGTGTAATAAAATACAGTCAAATTCTTGCTTTTGCTTATCAATGGACTGAATTCTGAGGGGGACAAGATAGGATCATAGGAAAGCAGGGCTGGAAGGGACCTTATAGGGTCATCTAGCCCAGCCCTCTGGCTCCAGGTAGGATCATCCATGACTAAACCATCCTAAGGTGTCTGTCTAACCTGCGCTTGAAGACTTCCAAGGATGGAGATTCTACACTTTCTCTAGGTGGCCTGTTCCAGTGCTTGACCACCCTCATAACTGAAAAGTTGCTCCTAACTTCCAACCTAAATTTCCCCTGCTAAAGTATGAGACCAGCTCCTACTCACGTTCCCTATGGCCACAGAGAAAAGCCCCTTTCAATCCTTTCTGTAATTGCCCTTCAGATATGTGAAGACTTATCAAATCCCCCCTCAGTTTTCTCTTCTCCAGACTAAATAACCCTAGGTCTTTTGGCCTTTCCTCCTAAGCCTTGCCTCCAAAGCCCCTAGTAATATTTGTTGCTCTGTGCTGAACTCTCTCCAAACTGTTCATGTCCTTCTTGAAGTATGGGTCCCAAAATTGGACACAATTCATATGTTACTCAGCTTGCTTCAAGTGAGAAGCAACAGCAGAAATCTGTTTTGTGCTACAATTCTTAAAAAGATAAGTTTGGTTAAGTGCATTAGCAATAGGCTGACTGTAGTCCATAGGCTTATTTTAGAAACCTAAATTAAATCTGAACAAAGCAAACCAACCTTACCATTCCACCATATAAGGATACTTTTCTTCAATGGAAAGATTAGGGTCAATTTCAATAGCATAGTATGTTTCTTTCAGTTGCAATAACTGCAAAGAAAACCAGAAGTTAACTTCTAAATGATAAAAAGCACTTTAATGTTTTATGCCATGCATGATTTTCATGTTTTGATCTTAGAGGAAAGAACTGTACGTTCTGTCAAACCAAGTTTTATACTATTGTCAAAAGTAGAAATAAGTATTTTTATTGTTCTACAGCAGTGACTGAAGATTTGGGTGAAATTTTTACTTCACTGAAGTCCTATTAATTTTGATTAAAGCAAAATTTCATTCCTTGTCTCTTACAATGCAGTCTGAATGATATCCCAACAAAATTGAGAGCCATGAAATCTATCAAGTCTGTACAAATTACCAATAGCTAATGTATCTTTGTTACCTTTTTCCGACATTCCTCTGTGATGAGTTTACAGTTGTCAATAATATCTGAAAAGATGATTAAAAAGTTAAATGTTTTAGGGAAGAAATGTATTTTGGCTTCTGTTATGCTAAATTAGCAATAGCTGAGACTGTATTACTGTACTACATTTTTGCTCACCCCTGTTCATACCAATGACTAGCATGCATCCAGTTAAAGGTTGTGATAGTGTAGTTAAAAAGACTTCTAACCTAAACTTTCCATTATAAAAGCTTATGAAGTCATTTGTTAGCCTGATACTTTAGCAGCCATTGTTCATTAGAACATCACATATCTTCTCCTCTGTCTTAAGAGAACGACATGTCAAATCTGTTATCTGACTCCTGTAAGTGTTACAAAGATAATCCTATTTCACTGTGGCTTATGGATGATTTAGGTTTGATATATTGCTATTTACTCAGAACTAATAAGCATATTAAGCTCCCCTTTTGGCCTGAGCAGATCAAACAGATGACTAACTCTCATTTTACCTCACACTAGTGATAGAGAAATTAGAAAATAGAAAAGCCCATGTGTTTCACTTTTTAACAATTACCTACTTCATATAAAAATACTTACTATGACATGTTGGGCATCTTTTTCCATTGTAGGAAAATCTACTTAAAGTCATATCAAAGTCTGTAATTATCTAAAAGGAGGGGAAAAAAAAAACCAAGGTTTGAAAATACTGAAGCACAATAAAGAAATTAATAGGATTCTCAGTGATAATTTGCAGGACAGTACATCCGCTTAGAAAATGCTTCTTAAAAAGCTTGCTGAAAGTTATTAGAGAGTATTATCCAAGTAGAATGGCCTTTTTCTGTATCCCAACATAAAAAGTTGACTTTTAGTACCTATGGTCAAAATATTTCCTGAAATAAACTGCATTAATATGGCTTATTAATTAATGACATTAATGGAACATGGCTGAGAATTCAGGAAGTTTACTGAAATAATTAACAGATCTCCCAGCTTCAAAGAATTAGTCAGACTTGGCTCCTATTATGCACCCTTTCATTTTCAGGCCTCAGGCAAACAAAGTAAGATTGGTATTTATTCTTACTTGCACATATTTTTGTACTTCACATTTTACCTGAAGTTTGGCAGCTCCACCTTTGATGAGGCCACAGATAATTTCCTCTACTCGTCCAGGGTCCTTGATATGTACAGTCTTTTTCTGAAACTCTGGCATCTATAAATAATAGAACAGAGAAGGAAATAAGAATTAATAAAAATACAGACACACAGTGGATTTAATTGCTAAACATTAAAGTAGAAGTACTGCATATAAACACTGCACCATGCCAAGTGACACTGTGTTTCTTATCAGTGCCCACCGTACAGACTGGGGGGAACTGGAAAAAGAAATACACAATCCTCTTTTGTCTTTGTCAGTACTGCTTCCAACATGGTTTTTCCCTTAATTTACCTTAAATCAGGTAGCCTACCCTTCATAATTTCCTCCTGTTCTGCATCAGCTGGAAAGCAGTGCAATGGAGAGGATGTCCATTACTGTGGTTTCTGTAGGATGCTTGATGGTATGTAGAGCTAAACATGCGCTATGCACATGCTCATATACCCCATGATCACAGCTGACCCTTAGACCTACAGTACACTGATATCAGAGAAGCTAACCTCAGAAACCATCTTCATCGTGGTATGAGTTGTGTGCAAGACATTGCTACTTTCCCATTATATACACAGGCTAATAATTTTTGGAAGTAAAGGAACACTGGATGATCTGATTAACTGAACTTCCAACCTGTTTAATTTAAAAGTTAGGAGTGTTGGGGGTGGGGGAAGGGACAGTTTTGCTTCAATACCTTTATTGTACTTTAACTCTCCAAAGTCAGGTCACCTAATATTTTCATGTGCTATTATATCAATGATGTAGGTATGTGGATTGCCTACATATATTCAGACTAAATCAGCTTCAAATTATACAATTTTTTTCCATTATAATATATAAGTGTGTAGATATAGATATAAAAACAAAACATTTTTGCCTACCTCCCAGTTTATCCACATTAAGTTTTCACAGTACCTTACGGCTGACATACTTTAAAATAAGACACATTGCAACGCAAGTGCTAAAAGAAAGAACCTGCTTACAACCATTTCTAAATATAGACAATGTAAGGCTGCCTCCCCCACCCCAATCTGGGTGTATATTATGAAAAGGAATAAATTTTGAACATTTGTAGGTTGTCTCTGCTTGCTGGTAATAAATTTATGTTTATGGAAGACAAATTACTGTAATAATTCCAGCTTTGTAGTGGTAAACAAAAATGCTCTACTCAGTTGTATTGGCACCGAACTAAGGGAGTAGCAGAAGAGGTGACATTGCTTGCTACTTATCTTTTTAGTTTGTGAATTCATAGTTCACTTGCCAGAACTGAATTCCCTCTTCTGGGCAACATTCCTATGCACTATTTAATTGTGCAGTGAAACCTCTGCATCCAAGCGCTTCTGTGCATGAGTGTGTTGGTGAAGGGATTATAGGATGCAGCTGGCCACAGATTAGTCATTATTCAAACTTGTGCCTGCTATATTATCTTTGCAGCAATACACTATAAAAATTGTTTTAAAAAAAAAGAGTTTTGATTCTGAAGAAACTGACAGGGCCACCAAAATCACTCTTATATAGTGAGCAGTCACCACACTCACATCACACTGTCATTCCTTCCTACTCTTGACACTAATACATCACTGACTGCATCTCTATCAATAGTTGTTCAGAGCCTTTCAAGCATATGTGCAATTCGGTTTTCTTCATAGAGAAAATTACAACTTATTTCAGTCCTATAATTAGTCCTGTGATATACTGTCACAATATGACTGATATGCATGAATATTAACTGTTAGATTGAAACTTATCCTTTATTCTCAAACTTTACAGGTCAGAAGACATTGGGTGGGGGGGATCCTTTTGGCCAAAATGCATTCCCCCACTTGCATTCTAAAATCTGGAGTCTAAATCAAATGGTAGGGAGTATCTCTGATGGCTCCTAGGAGCTTCTCATCCCTGTGGTGGGAAAGGCCTTTTCTTTCTTCTCCATGCCCTCCTCTCTGTCCTGATTTCCACCAATATTGTCCTTTTGTTTTTCCTTTGCCTCATATCCCCCAGATTTTGTTACCAAGTCTTTATTCTAGATCCACATTTCCTGGGCTCCCTCAAAGCAGTGGTAACCTAACATCTGTTTTATCAGAAACGATGAGATAACCAGTACTGTCTGTAGAGAGAAATCTACTTGCAAAAGCTGTAGGAAATTTAGTCATCCTAATTAAAGTCAGCAAGCCTTTGGTCATGCTGAAAGTAATGGAAATAGCCATGTTGAATAAGGGTAATATTAGCAAATGAAGACAGCTGGGAAAACTCTGGAGGAAACTGCACACCTAAAATTGACACTTGCAATATCATCACAAGGTAACTTTTTTTCAACAATGCTTGAATAAAGACCTCCTCAGAGGTAAATCAAAATTTCAAACATTTGAACACACCATTTCTCTACTACGCATGCATGACTTTGAATGAAGGTACACATTATCAACAGGCTATTTTAATTTGGTTTGGATTTTATAGAAGTTGAACCTGTCAACTCTAAGTAAAGAAAATAAATTTCCAATTCTTTATGCTAGAGACAGACTCCAATGAGGAAAATTCAAAAGATGAAATGCTAAAAACATTCTGGAGGCAGTTGGAGTTGTCTTATTTAAGTTTTGAATAGTTACTGGTGAGCAAAGCAAGTTCTACTAAAGAAATTTCCTATAAACATAACACCTTCTCTACCAAATACATCTTGTGTGACTTCTGCATCATGTTATCTCAGACTGTAAAGGAAAACGTTGACCGAGAAGCAATCCAAGTCTACTTGTACTATGACCACAATGGTTAAATTTCTGTTGAGAAGAAAGGCGTTTCAACAGTCCTTGCTCAGAAGAGAACCACACTTTCTTCAGAATTGGTCAGCACCATTCTGTAAAGTCTGCTCCTGCCTTTTCTCTTTTAACTGGAAGGACATTCATAGTATTAGATAACCTCAAAGTTAAATTATGAAAAACTGAACTATGAAGAACCATTAAGGATCTGACAAGGATGCAGTGAATTCCTCAAAAACGTGTGTTAATCTGCTGATTAACAATAGTCCTTTCACACAACTATAGGCAAGTCACAAGAGGGCTATACATGCAACGCATTTGAAGATACGCAGCCACAAGAACTAGCGAAAGTACACGAAGAGCTCTTATGCATATGGTACAACAGAAAACGATATTAAATGTCTTTTCTGAGACATTTCATAAAGTTTTTTGCATTTTTGGACTGTTGATGAATGAAACTGGAATAGATACTTTCACATGCAAACAGAATTCTTCAAGCATATTAAAGAGGGATACCTGACTTTGTTTTGTGTTTTTTCACTTTGGGAATTTGAAAATTACTTTCTTTAGCTTTGATTTAATTAAGTAGAAATGTATGCTTAGAAAGGCAGGAATGCTAAAATTTTCCTGTGCAAGAGATCAGACAGTAGTTGGTTGGATTAAAACACTAAGACAAGGACTTTATGTAAATGCAATAGATTTAGATAGAGATTGGAGAGATGCATTTTAACTTTAACATTCTCAGAAAAATGTTGGAGTGCCGTTTGAATCACCTGGCACTGTTTTACTTTGTACTAAAATAATTTTCTTTTTGGTTTCTGGAAAAACTTTGAAGTGCTGTGGTGTTCCCATTTTTTTAAAGCATAGCCAATTCAGCACTTTATGTTTTCAGCAAACCAATGCCTAAGTTTTGGAGCAGAAGAAAAGCATTATGCTTAATCTGTGCAGAAAAATGACTCGCTTCACTTTCACTCAGGTAACTGATGCTGAGAATTTGGGGTTTTCCAATGTTACATGAGAATGAAGGTAGGGCAGACAGGTTCACTACTCCATATTTATGGAAGTGCCACTTTGTGAAGGGGTGGCAGCCCTTTTTAGATAATGAAATACTGATCCAATAAATATTTCTGCAGGCATTATGGGTACAGCCTGAATCTTGAATTCAGTATGGCTTTCAGCAGACTGGATGCCTAAATCAGGCAGTTACATCTACCTGACTGAAAATCCAAGTCAGTGGTACTGGCATCTCTACTTAAAACACTGAACTTGTCTTCACAGCTGAAGTCATAAGTGGATCTAAGTTGGAAAGAATTTGGAGCTCAACAACTGAAATTAAACAAAGAAGTGTGATGCCAACTAGAAGAGTCAGAGCAACATGAAGCTTTCTAAATGAACTGTAACAGTTCAGGAAGGCTCTAAGAGTTGACTGAACATTCATAAGCTCAATATACTGTGATGCACAGGCCAGTTAAAAAAAACCCTAGGCTGTATCAGGACAGGAAGAATACTTATGGACAATTTTCAAATTGAAGGTAAATGGTCTAGAATCCAAGGCTCAATTTCTCTTT